TGAGCATTGCAAGTACCTGCCAAAGCTCTCGCTGTGCACCCGGGTAGTACATTGGTAGTAAGAAGGGCAGACTCTGGCTTCCTCGGGTACTGCCAATTCTGGGAATAGGTAACTTAAGTTTCTGCTAGACCCTGCTTCTGAAGTCAGTCTGTCACATTGAAGCATATGTAACCCCTCAGGGGAAAGGGGGGGAGTGTGACACGAGAAGAGCGAGCGGGAGAGTGCGAGAGCCGCACATGGGAGACGGCGGTGTTTGCTGCGAGTTGCACAACCTGGTGGCACTCGGCTGTCTCGCACGTTGGCAGTTGGGTGTCGGGAGGTTTGATCGAGCGAGTGTTCGATTCTGTGGCTGTTGCGTTGGTCTGGAGAGCGTTCAGCCCAGTTGGAAAGTGTTGGGCACAACTGTCTGATGGATTTAAAACAATGTGAGATATTGTGAGAGTCTGTGGCCGCACTTCCGTGCCAAGTGAACATGAGCAAAGGGCCAAAGGGCAAACACAAGCACCAAGCAAATAAAAGATGAAGTGGAAAGTAGTCACCTCAGAAAGAAGGGGGGGGTAGGAAGGGATGTCACATATCCAAATCGCGGCGACTGTCATACTCCGGGTTCTCTGGAGAGATCCTCTCTGACTTCTCTGTTCTTGTTTTGCAGGTGAAGACGAGAAACTTGCTGCCTCTTTGCTAGATGGGAAGTTTCCCCGGAGCACATCAATGCAAGACACCGTTAGGGAAGGACATGGGATTCCTCCACCACCTCAAACAGCCCCACCCCCACCTCCTTCTCCATACTACTTTGACACAGGCCCCCCTCCATCCTTCTCGCCACCTCCACCCCCAGGAAGAGCTTACGATACCATAAGATCAAGCTTTAAGCCAAGCCTGGAGGCTAAACTCCACGGACTCCCACAGGTCATTAGCGCAGCCGAGATGTATGATCAGGCGAGGACTTCCATTCCTTACCCTGAAAGGCAGAAGAGGGCCCGATCCATGATAATCCTACAGGATTCCTCTCATCTTCCCGTGGAGCCAACAGAGATCCCCCGGCCTGGCCCTTCTGCAACCCCCCCAGAGAAGCTGAAGAGGAAGGGGAGAGTGATTGACAACCCTTACGCCAACATGGGTCAGTTCAACGTCAGCCTGTTTGCTCCCACCAAGCCGCAGAGGAAGAAGAGTCCCCTTGTTAAGCAGCTACAGGTGGAGGATGCACAGGAGAGAGCGGCGCTGGCCATCACCGGGGGCTTTACAAGGGAGCCCTCTCCCACCCGCAGGAGCCATCGCCTGAGTGGAGTGGAATATCAGCACCACACCGGCATTGCTCAGGTCGAAGCCACGAGCATCCCCTTCGCCACTGCCATCGCTGGAGTCATGAAGGACAGAGACCGTCGTCTGGATGAGAGGCGGAAATCCACTGTCTTCCTCTCGGTCGGGGCCATCGAAGGAAGCCCCCCCAGCAGCGACATGCCATCCCTGCAGCAGTCCAGGTCTATTGATGAGCGGTTGTTAGGAAGCCGAGATGTACTACTGCCTTCCCCTGTCTCAGCTTTAAAGCCATTAATTAGCAGCTCATCCTCAACGTTCATCCACCCCCTAACAGGAAAGCCCTTGGATCCGAACTCACCACTGGCGCTTGCGCTGGCCGCAAGGGAACGGGCCCTCTCAACTCAAGTCCCATCCCGGTCGCCCACCCCAATCCACAGCCCAGACTCAGAGAGAGCAGCACCCCTGTTTGTGGACATCCAAACCAAAGAACCAGAGAGGGGGGAGTTGGAGAGCTTGGTGTCCCCTGCGTACTCACCTGGAGGCAAAGGGGTGATCGGAACAGACTCTGGGACTTTGGCCCCTACGAAGAGCCAGTGGGGGACTCCGTCCACACTGAGAAAAGAAACCGAGGCAAGAGCAGAAACACCCGGGAAGGAGGAGAAAAAACAAGAAGACAAGAAGTCCATGATTATTAGCATAGTGGATACATCACAGCAGAAGACCGCTGGCCTCATCATGGTTCATGCCACAAGTAATGGCCAAGACGAGATAGGACTTGAGATAAAAGAGGAGAAGCCGGCTGTCCCTGAAGCATGCACAGAGCCAGCGGAGTCCCCCAAAGCAGAGACCCAGCCCAGTCCCGTGGGGAAGCCTCCAGTCAGTCCAGCCTCTGACAAGACGTTGGGACAAGGCAGTTCGGAGGAAGAAGTGGAGCCCTACACGGTTACCCTCCCACCAGCTCAGTTGTCCTCAAGTGACGAAGAGACCAGGGAGGAACTGGCCAAGATAGGGCTGGTGCCTCCACCAGATGAGTTTGCGAACGGGGTACTGGTCACCACCCCTGGCACACCAGTCAGCCACCGGGCTACGCCTAGCCCGCCATCCATACCAGCGGCAGCAGTAGCACCTTCTACCACTGGCGGAACACCCTCAGGGAAGCCCTCTGATGCCCCCGTAGCCCCAGAGTCTGCTGCAGACTCGGGAGTGGAAGAGGTGGACACCAGAAGTTCAAGTGACCATCACCTGGAGACCACAAGCACCATCTCTACGGTCTCCAGCATGTCTACGTTGTCCTCAGAAAGCGGGGAGCCTACTGACACATACACTTCCTTTGCGGATGGACAAACTTTTATACTCGAGAAGCCACCAGTGCCTCCAAAGCCAAAACTCAAGTCCCAGCTCAGCAAGGGGCCAGTTACTTTCAGGGACCCACTTTTGAAGCAGTCTTCGGACAGCGAGCTCATCTCCCAGCAACATGCGGCCACTCTGGCATCAGCCAGCATTGGCCGGCCACGCTACCTCTTTCAGAGAAGGTCCAAGCTATGGGGGGACCCCATGGAGAGCAGGCCAATCCATGGGGCTGATGATGACAAGCCAACTGTGATCAGTGAGCTAAGTTCCCGACTACAGCAGCTGAATAAGGATACACGATCACTGGGGGAGGAACCAGCCGGATCCACGTTAGATCCCGGGAAGAAGTCACCTGTGGTCGCGGCACGGTAAGACGCTGGTCGCTGGCCAGGGGAGGGGGCGGGGGCGGGACGAGGGCACCCGGGGGGACAGGGAGGCGCGTAGGCAGAGCGTAACTGTGCCGAGTAACCCAGGGCGTGCTCTGAGGGGCATTTCAGAGATGTCAGGACTTCTCAGCTGCCCGGGGAGAGGCAGTGCTGAGACGCGCTTTCCAGAAGCTGGTGTGATCTGTTCATGGCTCCTCTCTACGCCCCGCACACGTAGCGAGCTCGCACTGTTGCTTTTTCCCTTTAAACTGCCTTCCTGTCGTTCCATGTTCCTCCTCTGTCTCGATGCTGTTGTGAAGCTGCTGTATCCAGTCGTGGGTTTCACTTCTAAATGTTTGCTCCTGAACAACTAACAACAACGTGTGTTTCTCTAGTGCTTTTCGTTTCAAAGGACCTCCAAATGTTGTCAGACTACGTATTAGAGCTCTGGTCAGTCACTGCCAGGCGGGAGCCGTCACGGGGGGGGTCTGGGACAGCCCTTAGAAAGGACACAGCGGCACCACCCCAACCTTTGTTGGCTGGGGCAGAGCTCGGTGCCGTTTCTGGAACGAGCTGGCTCTGGTGACCCACAGGGAGGTGTTTTGGCAGGGTGCAGCCGGGGGGCGTTACGCGCGGCTCCGGGCAGGGGGTTCCCCCGGGTCCTCGCAGCGGCCGTGTCCTGCGGAGAGCAGCGCTGGCTCGCACACGTCTCCGCAGTGCCTGAGCGTGGTAGATCCTCTCAGCCCTTGTCCTCCTCCTCCACACATGGACCTGCGCGGAGCCCGGCTGGCCCAGGAGGTCTGAAAGGTCGCAGCAGTAGGACCCCAGGACACGCAGGAGCCTCTCTCTCTTACAAAGTCCTGCAGCAGCAGCCCCTTTGCCCCACGCTTGCATCCCAACCTCCCCACCGAACTGTAGAGCTAAACTAAACTAAAAGACTCTACGCTGGAGCCTGAGATTTGAGGGCGAACCCTTACAAGGCTTCGAAATCTGAAGTTACAGCAGGAAGTGACCCAAAATCCCTGGTCTCACCCTGCCCTTTCAGGATGCAGGCACACAGCACCTCCCGTTGCAGCAAAGCCACCGTGAGCAGGTCCCACCAGTGACGCGAACTGTAGAGCTAAACTAAACTAAAAGACTCTACGCTGGAGCCTGAGATTTGAGGGCGAACCCTTACAAGGCTTCGAAATCTGAAGTTACAGCAGGAAGTGACCCAAAATCCCTGGTCTCACCCTGCCCTTTCAGGATGCAGGCACACAGCACCTCCCGTTGCAGCAAAGCCACCGTGAGCAGGTCCCACCAGTGACGCAGTTGCTGGGGGTCAGCGAGGTGCTGGTTC